CATTTAGAAAATTCTACAAAACAAATCCCTGAGATAAGAGCTAATATCCTGTTTAATAAATCTGGAAGATCACTGATTGAGGTTTTCTATAAATGTTCTGGAGTGCTGGCCGCTTGTATGTGTCCACGCTGGTCTTTAAAATTCTTATTTATTTATCTTGAACTGTGTATTTTCAGTATTGGAAATTAAAAATGGAAGAAGCCTAGTTATATCCATCTTTCACTTTTTGCATGATGTATTTTGGGCAGTTCCAGAGGACTTTGCCAGTCAGAGTCCCACCGGGTGAAGCACATATGGGCACAGCAGCTTGAAAGAATGGAGCAAACCGTCAGGATTTTGTCTAAAACCACAGTGTCCTTAGGGTCAGGCCACCTATGGCTTTCTAATACAGACACACTTTTTTCTGTTTATGTTGGAAACTGCTAAGATATTACTTCTGTCATGCATAGCAGTCACTAAAGGTGACAACTATTTAAAAGCCATTTTCATGTGTGTATATATGGGTTTTATATTTTGATGTGCATAGGCAACTGAAGTGGACACGGTGCATCCTGCAATTAAAATCAACACAACGCTATATTGTTAAAGAGGAGCTGAGATAGACTTAAATAAATCAAGGGGTAGTAGTGAGAAAAGGGAGGAGATACTAGTGAATATTAAAACAGAACAGTTGCATGCAAAGTTTTATGTTTATGCGTTCTGTTAACAATTGTCCAAATATGCTCACATTATAACATACAGTGTTTCATTAGTAATAAAACGTAAAATCACGTATTTTTCCCCCTTGAGTGGACATCTGGAAAAATCCTGGAATAAACACATGTTTTTAGCAGAGAGTTTTTCACAGTTTTTATGCTTGAAGAAAAGAATCCTGACTGAAATGGTCACAATTAGTGCACAAAAGCTTTAAGCTCATTGAGCTAAAGTAATCAAAAATTGGAGTAAACTCTGACCGTAAAAAATAAATAAATCCACTCCCTGTTTAATCTCAGAAGACGAGCATCTGCTAAGCAAAGTAACCCCATCCAAATTATTTTAAGGAAGTGTCCTTTTCAAGCCAAAATCTATTTTGGTTTAATAGTAAGCTCCAAATCCAAAGATTCCCATTTTACCCAATGCTTTTTTTAATGGTGAGACACAGTTAACACATACTATTATAGTTTTTATTGTACAGAAACAATAGATGAGAGTGAATGTTCCATGCATTTAGTTTCTGTATTACTTGTGCCCATGTTCTTCAGAGGTATGTATGTCTGTGTGTTCCACTTCATGTGTATCACATGTATTATTATTTGTCGGAAAAGTTAAGCTAAATGGATTGTACTTATATGGTATATAGACAAGATTCCCCTGTTTTCTCATGCAGAACCTCTTAAACGAGGCCACACAGTGCTTCTAAACTCCATCACTCACATTCAAACATGATGGATGCGAGCATACTTTGACATGTAAACCGGGGAACTCGGACAACTGAGCTGAGCCACAGCTATTCTGATACAGAAACCTTTCTTTTTTTTTTTTTTAATAACCCTTTGTTCTTTTAGGCATCAGCAGACTGCAGAGGTGGGAGAGAGCAAAGCTTCATGGCCTGGACCCACCTGAGGAGATCAGAGACCTGTTGCTGCAAACACACACTGACCCTGAGTACAACCTGAGGTAACACACACACACACACACACACACATCTACAAACAGGTTTATGAGAAACAATGCTGAAAACACCCGCTGGCTCTCACTAACGTCAGGCTTCTGTGCACCACAGGAAATTGTAAAATTAGCATCAAGCTTGGCTTTGTGGGTCATTTCAAACTCAGACAGAAATGGCTGCAGCTGTGAGCCTGATTTAGTAACAGAAAGCCGATTTACATAGAGACGTGTTATGAAAGTACCAGGCTCAAACTTCACACGGTGACAACAACCATTCGTCTCTATTGGCAACACATTTAGTTAATATTGGATCTGGATGATGTTGTATAAAACAAAAAAAATACAGTTAACTCAACATTTGAGTTGAGAAGAAATATAAAGTTTAGATGAATTACAGATGTGTCCAAGTAACAGGGGTCATGCAGTTTGTGTGGCCATACCAAATATTTTTCTTGTTTTTTGTTTTTGTTCTGCAGTTTTTTAACCATTGATTTGGGTTTTCTATGACAAAAAAATAAAATAAATCCAAATAAGCCCTGCAGAAAAAGAGCATTGGTTAAAACATGATCCTATGCCACTTATGGAGGATCTCACTGCCTAAAAACACTGAACAGAGTCTCTCACAGTGTGTTTGTTTCTCTGGCTTAATCATTCTTTCTTGTCAGATTCTAATCTCATGTTTAACGGATCTGCTTATCATCATCGTGTTCTGTCTTCCAGCCTCTGGAGCGAATATCCTCTGTGAGCACGACTTCACGAAGCAGATGGAAGGCTCCAAAGTGAACTGGGAATTCTGTGTACTTAGTGTATTTAAAGATGGATGTTTTCTAACCATGTTTGTAGCCACCGTTGTTTCTCTTTACTCAAAGGTTTTATAATTTGTAATAAACAAATCCCACCTGATCACGCCGTCTCTCTGTTGTGTGATGGACAGTTTAAGAAAGGACAATGCATAAACAACGTGGTGAATCACAGACCATTGACCAATTTAAATCCTGTGTTTTGCTCTTCTCTGGCACCTCCCATGTGAGGCGCACACTGACATATATTCACCTCAGTCTTTTTATAGTTGACACAGACTCTCTGTCCTACTCGCAGAGCTATTAAATATTCAGTGGAGTGATTTAAGTCTATGACATCAGTGCACGCTTTGCATTCATTGCGTTGTAAATTAGTCTGGGCTGTTATCTAAAAGGATAGGAATGCAGTGATTGGAACATTTAGAATTAACAACACATACGCTGTTACGGATCCCTCTTTTTTACAATGAACAATACATTTACAGTGTGCAGTAAGAGAAAAAACAAGTGTTCGTTAGCTTTATTTCCTTCCATTTTTGTAATTGTAGAAACAAAAACATCGATTGTTTATCGTGGGCTTGCAAAACTCTTCATTAACTGTTGAGGGCAGTGCTGATTCTAACGCACTGTACATTGGAAAATGAAAATAATCACCCCAAATTAAACATATTTTTCTCCACATCACAAGCGGAACGCTGGAGGACTGGTAAGGTGTCTATGTCATAACTGAACGCTGATTGGCTCCCACGTCCGTCAGTCAAGCGCGCGGTAGACGCACCGCCCGTTGATTGATCGAGAGCCACGTAGCTGGGTTCACGGGCTGGAAATGAACCTATCGTTATTTTGGGTGGGCCGGGATTGGGAATTTCTACGCGTCGATTCGTCAAAACGAGGCATGGGTTCAGTTTCCTGGTGTCTGATTGGTTAGTTTTCAGCCCGTTGCTTCTCTACGACGGAAAATACCTTTAATCACGTCCAGCGCTGAACAGCGTCAAGCTAGACAATGTTACGTGCAGTCACAGGAGAAGCGTTACTTTTTGAGTCAATATAAACGTTTAAACCGTCACGTTTTCACCAAGAAACAGTTTAACTTTAAAACAATTCCTTAGTAAGGTTAACTCTCCCCCAGTATTCCTTTATATTACACACTGACACGCACGAAAGCCCCAGATTAAGCTCTTACTTTGAAGTTTGACACCGGATGTTGTGTTAAGAAGCGACATCTTTTCTGCTGCAGACAGACTAAAGATACTCCTGCAGATAGGATAAACAATTATAATGCCATATTGTGTGAATACACCGTCGTGAACTATATTAAGAGCCTTTATTTTGCCTTAAATTGGCCTTCGTTTTTAGAGACAACGTTTTATCCCTCTGAATTCGTGACGCCGTTTTATTGAATTGCGTGTGTCCTCGATTTTTCCATTTAGAAGCATCCGTGAGGGTATAACGGGGCAGTCTGTTGTAAAAACTAATTTCCGAGCAATAATTCGTCTTTAACGTAGACAGTCGGAAGGGATACAACGTCAAAACACATGGTGCTTTAGAGTATCTTCTTCAAAAGGGACGGCTAGAGCTCAGAAGAGCCACGGACAGACAGCCCTGGTAAGCAACCTGTTCACTCCGGAGGATTAACGTCAGACATCGCGTTAGCTCAGTAGCATCCTAGCTAGTCACAGCCCTGTTGCTCGCGAGCTAATCGCTAGCGGCATACTCAAAGGCTTTACCGGTTTTTTTCTTCTCTTTTAAACCCATCACACGAGCATTAACGTCCTACCAAAAAATAACGAGTAAGTCCCGTCAGTTGTCAGCAATATTTTTTTATATTTGGTTTCCCTGAAACCAACCTTACCTGGGACAAAGTTTGTAATACCCCTGTCAGCATATGTAATAGCTGGGTCATCTCTATACAGTTTAATTAATTTGATTACTTCTCTGGTTTGGAGTTTTTAAAATTCGAATTATACGTCTGGAGATATAGAAATTAATATTTTTTTAACGGGGGCCTTCAAAACTAGTCGTAAAACAATGTTGTTAAAAACTGAAAATGCATCTCAACATACAACACGCATCCATTTTTTATTATTTATGCTAAAGTGAAAAGGGGTATTTCTTTAGAATAAGAATAATTGAGCATCGTTCCATGATGAGATGCTTTCAAGGGCTGCAAATGTCCTACAAATTGACGGCTGGCCTTCTCCTGCTCGCAAAATATTTTTTCTTAATATTATCCAGCACAAACAAATTGGTGCTGAGGCTTTTCTCTAAAGAGCAGCGCAGAAAAATATTGTGCAGGGTGATGCAACCCCACTGGGAGTCTCAGTGGGTTAAAGTCTGGGCTTCCTAGCCATACATGACATTGCATTCCCAGCCAGCTAACGCTGTTATGAGGTTCTTTTTTTATGCCTTATGATGGAGTTCATCAGGTATTTCGGACTGTACAAACTCTTAAAGAAAATCTGTGTAGTGGTAAATAGTTAGATACAGTATTTGGAATAAAGAAGGTCATGGTTTAATACTTAATTGGCAGCTTTTTTTTCTCCCCTCACAGTGATGGATAATGCTCATACGAAGACAGTGGAGGAGGTTTTGGGCTTCTTCGGCGTGAATGAATCTACAGGTCTGAGTTGTGAGCAGCTGAGGAAAAACAGAGACAAATGGGGACCCAACGGTACAATTATTTTATTTATTTATTTTGTGTCATCGCTCCAATTCGATATGTTTTCCCTGAAAAAGATGTGTCATTGAAGGCAGCGTATGGGTCTGAAAATGGGGTCTCTGATGTCATGTTTTCTTCTCTTATCCTTTTTGCAGAACTACCAGCAGAGGAAGGTGAGTCATGGATTTTTATCTATATCTGAGCTTTACAATCTTGTTTTGGATGTTTCCTACCTGGAACTCGGCCTTGTCCAAATCAGCCCTCGATGTCTTCTGTCCTTTTTTACACTCCGCTCTGCAGGGAAGTCGCTCTGGGAACTGGTCCTGGAACAGTTTGAAGATCTGTTAGTTCGAATCCTGCTGTTGGCGGCATGCATCTCTTTTGTAAGACAACTGCACACGCATCACACAAATGCACGCAAAACCCAATAACGCGTATTACTTAATCATACATTGACTTTTGTGTTGTCATGGAAAACATTTGAAACATGATGGTAACACAAAATCCCCCGTTGGAAAAAGGAATCGAACAAAAACCGACTGATGAGCAGCAGTGCTGTTACACAGCTGTACAGCCGTGCACACGTGCCTGACTTTTGACTCTTCTCTGTCCTGTAGACTTTGGCGTGGTTTGAAGAAGGGGAGGGGACCATCACAGCCTTTGTTGAACCCTTCGTCATCCTCCTCATCCTCATCGCTAACGCGATTGTTGGAGTTTGGCAGGTACCTGTGTGTGGATGAAGTGTTTAGGGGCTCGGCCTTTCAGTATTAAAACGCCTGACAACTAATGAGCTGTTTAAAAAAAGAGCACAAACCAAGCAGGAAGGTAGAATACTGATAATATTACAAAGAAAGTTCGAACCAAATTGAACCAAAATAGCTAGAGATGTAATATTCTTTTAATGAGCAGTGGCAGTCATCCATCGACCTTCAAGCAGAGAGAGCTGGGGGCTTTTCGGAGACGAATGTAGTAAATCCCAGATGGTATCACACACTGTGGCTTTCAAACTTATATGAACAGATTCTTACACTTTGATGGGCTCATGATTTTTTGGATCATTAAATACAAGACTTCACTTGTGTGCAGGATAAGACGGTATAAACAGGAAACAGAACAATGCCTGTTTAGTTACTGTCAAATGTAAAGACATGTTATCTTTAAAAGAGTTCCAATTAAAACAAAAGTAGATCATTTGATCATCGGACAGAGATTCTGAAATCAGCTTTCGTTCTTCAGTCCATCCTTCGCTGCTCACTGAGTATCTAAACTTCATATATATCTTCAATGGAATTTTTTTTTTTTTATCTCTCTATCTGGTACTGCAGGTAAGTCATATCATTTTATATCCTTCGTACCTGAAGTCATCAGTTCTGGTAACTGCAGGTTTGCTTTGGTTCACTGTGCAGGCAACAGAAACCCGAGCACTCTTTGTTCTTAAGAATTGTTATTACAACTGAATTAAAAGTAAAGTAGTTTGGACATAATGTGTATAATGTTAAAGTAAGTATGTCTTCACATTCCTTATAGCAGAGAGGGTTGTTGTACATTAACAAGCAATCATGCGTTGCATTTAATGGATATCATCTGGATTATATTAAGAATGAACATTTTACAGTACCTTAAATAAATACTAATGATGTGCAGTTTTCCTACATTTTAAAGCGATTCTTCCCAAAACATGTGATCATGTGAACATGTTTGTTTTCTTTTTGATGCCATGAAGCTCCAGATGAGTTAGACTGCTCTTCACCCAGTCAAGAGGAATCAACAGAAAGTAGAATAAATACTTATTATTTTTTCCCAAATTCTAATTGTTTTTCTTAGGTTTCTATAGTTTATTTGGCCATTTTACTGAACTTTCTATTCCCACTATTCTGGTATTGTTTATGTTACAACCAGAACTGATAAAGACCACTCATAAAAAACGTTGCCCAGTATCAGTGGAGAAGAACACCTTCCATTCATCAGGAAACACAGACAAAGGGACGCAGCTCAAACAGAATTCCTGGGTGAGGGCCGGCATGGCCGCGACTGCAGTGGGCTCAGACTCAGCAACTCTGAGCTGTAGAGACCCTGTAAAGTCTGGTCTGACGGCACCCCCTTCTCTTTTTTTTCTTTTGCTTAGACTGCAGACTGTAGGCTCAGTTATGCACCAACATTTACAGCCTCTGGAGCCACCCCACCCTGTGTGAACAGTGGAGGATGCAGGTGGTGGTGTAATGATGAGAGGGATTTCCTTATTTTAGCCTTTTAATAAAACAACTAGTCCTGTATCTGACACCACCAATTGATTCATTCCCGGGCAGGTCACCGTCCCCTCATGGCTGATTTTGGGATGTTCTTATGCAATGAAAGAAAACGAACATGTTCTGAAAGACAGCGGATCACAAACGGCTAGAATCCTCCAGATTCAGCTGAAATACGAGCAAAAGTGGTTTGATAGCGTCACACGGCGAGACGTGGCGCCGCTCTGATGTGCCTTCTTTGTCTGGCTAATAAAAGGCTAAAGGGTTGTTTTACAAACATCAAAAACAATATCCTGCAAATGCTTAAAAAAGGGAAATCGTTTAGAAAAAAATCCTCCGCATGCACCTTTGGTCGTATTCTTCACAGAATCAGGCTTTTTAGCTTTGAATAATATTTAGCAATTGCTGGATATAAAAAAAAAAAAAAAACGGCACCTTAGCACCAAATTTTTGCGCTTTCTTCCAAAAGTTGGATGAATTCTACCATGAAATGATTTTTGAACTGACATTTTGCTGTGAAAACTACATTTAACTGAACTTGAAGCCACATTTTTTTTTAGGAATCTACTGAGGTAAAGAAAAATGCTCTTCATTATTCGTGGTGTTTATATATAGAAAACAGGGATTTCCCTAATGTATTCACGGGAGAGTGGGAATGTAGTTTTAGTGTAAGTCTTCAGACCCTCTCTGGGAACTAGCTGCATGTGGGCCATGAGGCACAGTGTGGTTTATTTTGTGTTTTGGTCAACTGCTTCCTGTTGACCCAAATTTAGATTTAAGGCCAAATCGGGCCAGCCACTGGTTTTCAAAGCCTTCCCATGTCTTTGCCATTTCAAATTGTGGAGTAAAATTTTTCTGATTCGGACCCAAAAAAAAGATTTTCCTTAAAAAGAACCCTTAGTGTTTGTCCTCACAGCTTTGTTGGAATCAGTTATTTTCTTTCATGGAGGTTTTTTGTAAGCAGCAGGATGATGCTTTCTTGTTTGTGTGTCCTATAGGAGCGAAACGCAGAGAACGCCATCGAGGCTTTAAAGGAGTACGAGCCTGAAATGGGCAAAGTGTACCGGCAGGACAAGAAGAGCGTCCAGAGAGTCAAAGCTCGAGACATTGTTCCTGGAGACATTGTTGAAGTTGCTGGTAAGTTGGAGAATTCCGTAATTACATAGCTTTCATCACAAAGTTTTCACAAAAGTCTTTCATATAATCAACACTATTTCAACACAAATGTTATTTGGCCACCCATAACATTATGACCATTGACAGATGCATGTTAGGCAACAGGTAAACCTTTTTTTTTGTTGAAGTTGTTGTGAAAGCAGAACAATTTGAGCATGCAGAAGGATTTTAGGCTTTTAGGCAGAAGGATTTTAGGATTTTAGGTTGTGATATTAGCTTCAGCACATCTTTGGGGATGAAAGACTTCTGTCCAGTGATCTTGGTGCTTTCGGAAAAATCAGTCCACTGAGCTTCTCTGATCCCAGTCCAGTCCTCAGTGTTATGAGCTGGCTCTTCATAACGTTATTCCTCAGTGGGTGGTCGCTCCTGGACAATCTCAACAAGATTGGTGGTCCACCTGTCTGCTGTGTTTCTCCGTCTTCTGTGGAAACGATTCCAGTTTTTCTTTTTCCTTCTCATCCCCTTAATTGAAGGTGATGGGTCATGGCCTGCAAATCCTCTGCCCGTTAAGATGTTTTCATGCAGTTCTCATATTTGCTATAGCTTTGGTCCAGAAACCATTAGCCCTACCCCACAGGGGGCTTATGTTTTCGTCACAACTCAGAACTAGAGTCTTTAATGACATTTATTAATTTACATTCAATTTCCCTCTGGGATGATTGAAGCCATTTTGAATTTAATTGGATTTTGAGCGATTACTTTTCTAAAGCAAATGAGAATTTAGTTCTAACCATATTAACAACGAGGCTCTTTAAGGTTTTACAGATTGCTTGTGAATAATCATCCTTCATTCCTTTAAGTGATAAAGTATGCCGTCTTATCTCTGTTATGCACCCAGCCACACTTTCACACTGTGAATGACGTCTAATCTTCAAAAGATCATAGAATTATATGGAGAAATAACGAAGTAATGAAGGCCTAAAGGGTTTTTACTTGCATTTATGTCTTCTATCTTGTCTGTTCGTGGGCCTTCAGTGGGGAGATCAGCAGAACGAAGCACGCGTTTCCATTTCACGGTTGTTTAGACATAGTTGGAACGACGCTGGACGGTATTTGTTTAGTCATTCCTGGCAGCGCCTGCCAAGTCTGCCATCTCCTTCGGCCGATATTGTCATGGTAACCTAGCAAGGAAAACAAATAGCCTCCACGGAAAAAATGTTTATTGGAGCACAGCTCTGGAGGGTTTGCAGTGAATCCGAACAGTGGTTGATGATGATGATGATGATGATGATGCATGCCTTTTGCACTAACGATTTTCCACTTGTTACAGGATGTATTTTTACCGCAGCTGTCTTGTGTTAGTGTCCTAAAGCGTTTGAAAACATTTGGAGTTGATTTCTAGCATATGGCAGCACTTGTTCTCAGTGGTGTTACTCTTTGTTGAACCACTTGATGACCGAAGAGGAGGTAACATTTTGAACCGAGTCAGAAAAGTGTTTTTGAGCACATTTTGGGCGTTTCCCGGTTTTTCTGTGCGATAAGGCCATGACAGTTTGCATTAATCTTTATCCTAATTCAGTGCTGCCGTCTTTTGGCTAAAAGTCAGGTGAGAAATATCTTCTGCTGAGGCCACACTTTGCGGTCACCTGCATCCCCATATGCATTCATAGAGAAATGCCCAGTAAAAAACACTGAGATCGTTTTTGATCCATCAAGAAAACAGCTGAATTCTTCTGATGGATATTTCAGGCTCCTCAGAGAGAGGAAACGTCTGTGTGTCTTTTTGCTAGTGTGTTCTCCCTGTTGTAGAGTCATTTGTTTCCAAGAGCATGGGAACTCTTTGACTCTTGTCGTGGGACTCCTCGCTGCAACAGTCTCATCACAGCATTTAGTTCAGTTTTGATTCGGCAACCTGTGTAAATAGAGCTTTTAATAACTAAAGTTATGTAAAATAAGATTCTCACTCTTCATTCTAACGTTTCCATGTTAGAACGTTACAAGAAAGTCTTAACATGTCTAAAAAATTAAGCCTGGAATGATAAAGTGTTATAATTTATTTAACTAAGAACTCACTTAAATTGCATAAAAGTGATCCTCTCTGTGCTATTAGACAATGCATCTGTTCTATTATAGATGGTCACAGAGGATGTAAGGAGGCAGGAGATTCTGTTATCAACGGCTAGTTAAAGCTTGTTTATTGTTTATTACTAATAAATCATTGTAGTACCACTGGTCATTCCTTATGAATCTTTTTACATGTAGTTCGACAATGTAACCTAATAAATACCATAAAAATGATTAGTAAACCAAAAGTATGAAATGCGGTACACATAAGACTGATGGAGGATCTGAGTGAGGAAGCCATGGAATTAATGAGCAGAGGAGGGTGTTTAATGAAGGAAGAACCACTTCCTCTTTGCTCAGGTTACATGTCTGGATGCAGCTACGGACTGTTCAGTAATTTTTTTCCAAGCGTTCTTGGGCTCATGTGGTTCTGTTTTTCGTTCCATTTTAAGCTCTGGATGTATTTGGTTCAAAATAGTAAGCTGTGATCCACTCTTGCTTGGCAAGTCCAAACCTTTGGTAGATGTGCCTTTTATGCCAAGTGTGGTATTTTAGCTTTTTTATGTCAGTTTATGTGTGTAATCCCAATTCTGGAGTTAGATTCTGCAAAGAAATCTCAGCATTTTGCAATGTAATTATATATTGACCTAACTCTGTCTGCAGAGACGTTTTTGTGAAAGTTGTGACCTGCATGTGGGTTTTTCTCTACTGCACTGCAATATGAGAAGTGTTACATGCTTTACTCATTAGTGGTTTAATTTAATGGCTGATTATTGTTGTGTTGTAATGAAAACTCATACACAACTGCACAGTGCAAACATTAGTTTTTTATTACCGCTTCTTGTGCATATTTATTGGGATGGGGGAGAGCGAATACACTCATAAACATGAATATAATCACAATATTTTTTATAAATTCAACAATAAAAGGTTATTTTCTTTTCTTTTCTTTTCTCTTCTCTTTGTCCCACACCCCCAATCCTCCAGTTGGTGATAAGGTCCCAGCCGACATCAGGCTGACATCCATCCGATCCACCACCCTGAGGGTGGATCAGTCCATTCTGACGGGGGAGTCCGTGTCAGTCCTCAAACACACAGACCCTGTACCAGACCCCAGAGCTGTTAACCAGGACAAAAAGAACATGCTGTTCTCAGTGAGTCCCGAGCACCACGTTTCTATTTGACTTTCAGGATCCACTTTTCACCACGACGACTCACTTGTAGTCAGAAAATACCAAAACGAAAAAAGGCCTGAAGGACTAGCACAGGTTATGCAGACAGGATTGCGTGTGTGATTGTCAGCATCTGGTTGCCCTTCTGTTGTGTTGAATTCCACCATCGTCTGTAGTGGCTAGTCTTGAACTATTCCCACCGAAGCTGGGCAGCTGCCCCAAATACCCAGTAGCACTAAAAAATCTCACACTGCTCAATGTGTTTTAAGACAATTCTTGTAGCAGTGAGCAGGGCCACTGCATAGAGACAGGACTGAATCAACTGTCCCTGAAAGCTGGACACTGAAAAACTGTACACTATTCTCAAGATTAAATGTATTAGGACGATTAGTCTGGTCCCAAAACGAGGTTAGAAAACAGCCTCGGATCATATTACAATGTCCCCATTATTTATTCAACTGAAACAAAGCAGGGATTTAAAAGAAAAAAGTCTGTGTGTTTGTGATGTCTGCGTCATCATATGTGACAGAGCTCAAATGTCACTCTGTCGTCAGGTGGGCTTTGTCAAAGATCAACAGCCTCTTATTTAAAAAAAAAAAAAAAAAACCCTTCTGTCTGTGTGGTTGTCGCTCGCTTTGATGTAACTGCACGCTGTGATGTGAAGGAATATATCCAAATCGGATTTTCTGCCCAGGGTACCAACATTGCAGCCGGTCGGGCCATTGGGGTCGTCGTAGCGACAGGGGTGCAGACGGAAATCGGGAAAATCCGAGATGAGATGGCCTCTACTGACCCCGAGCGGACCCCACTTCAACAGAAGCTCGACCAGTTTGGAGAGCAGCTATCTAAGGCAGGAACCAGTCCGTCCGGGCTATTCCCCCCTTTGCCGTGACTTTTAAAGAAACTGTAGCATGTACTGAATGAATTGTGGTCATCTGCAGGTCATCAGTTTGATTTGTGTGGCCGTGTGGGCCATCAACGTGGGCCACTTCAACGACCCGGTCCACGGAGGCAGCTGGCTGAGAGGAGCCGTTTACTACTTCAAGATTGCCGTGGCACTGGCTGTAGCTGCCATACCAGAGGGTAAAGCCCCCCCCATGATCGCCACGCTGTGTATTTCCGCTTTATGTTTCGGAGCTGGTTTCGTGCGAACGAGGCCAGATAATGTAACAGATGGATTCGGCCGCTCGCTGTGTTCCCTCTCAGGACTCCCAGCTGTCATCACTACCTGCCTGGCCCTGGGCACCAGGAGGATGGCCAGGAAAAACGCCATCGTTCGCAGCCTGCCGTCGGTGGAGACGCTGGGCTGCACCTCGGTCATATGCTCGGACAAAACGGGCACGCTCACCACAAACCAGATGTCGGTGTGCAGGGTAAGGGTCACAGCACCGGCCGAGGCGCCCCGTAGATTCCGCAGCTTTCATCACTGATTCCGCACTCCCACTAATCGCAGATTAACATGTTCTCCTTCTCCGAGCTAACATTAGATGAACAAAAAGGGTTCGTAAAAATCCCGGCAGACAGCGGGCGAGAGGCGGGGGGCCGCCAGTCCATCGCAGGGCCACAAACCTTTTATTCAGACCAGTGAATTAAAGTTTGAGAGAAATTGCTCTGTACAAGCCCGTAGTCAAATGTTAGCCTTTACCTTTGCGGATGTGCATCTCTGTTAGCGAACCACAACAAATGAGTCATCATTGAAAGCACCCACAACAAAAGGTTGTCGTTTTTGTGTAACTTGAATAAAAATAGTGACACAGTTTCACACTGGTGCTCATCAGTCTTTGAGCTCACAGCAGCTGTCCTCTAGCCGTCCTTAGAAAGACTTTTTTCTTTAGTTTTTTAGATATTCATCTCACTACTGTGTAGTGAGATGAGCCACTTCCCTCTATATTTTTTTTTCCAGATAGTTCCTTCTATGTTGAGTGTACATGTGTGAGTGGGGTCTCTTAAGGAACTCTGGCCTCCTCCCACAAACCAAAAACATGCATCAGCTGGTCATTTTAACGGAACCTCCCAGGTCTCTGTGGCCCCGTGATGGACCTTTTTAAAGTGTACCCCGCCTCGAGCTCGGTAGCAGTTGGAATGGGGACAGGGAAATGTCTCTAACCTATATAACTGCTAATGGAAATGTTGGTCTGGTTAATAAAGTGGTGCTTCTCTATGAAAAAGCATGAAGATCAATGCTAGAATGGATTGAGATGCTTTTTTTTTTACATGATGAACTAATCAACTACTCCATTGTGTTATGTCTGTGTGGTTTAGATGTTTGTAGTGGATAATGTGTCAGGAGATCACTGCACCATGAACGAGTTCACAGTGACTGGATCTACTTATGCCCCTGAAGGGGAAGTGTGAGTGTCCTTAAACTTTAACAACTAACACTAAACCTGTGACAGTTACAGATGTTGAGTCTGTGTTTTTAAATAAGGTAAATGGGCAAAAATGACTGATTGATTTGGTTTTGCTGTTTCCGTCTTGAATTAATTTTCTCTGTTCTCATCTCTCTAGCTACAAGGACGGCTCACTGGTGAAGTCCAGTCAGTATGAAGGCCTGGTGGAGCTGGCCTCCATCTGTGCGCTATGCAATGACTCATCGCTGGACTACAATGAGGTAATAAACGCAAACATGGCTCCAGCAACAGCTCAGACCCTCACAGATCTGCGATCCTGAAACATTTAAAACTGACTTCTTTTACCACAAGTTAATTTCAGGGCTCAACTGCGTCCTTTAACTTTGAACTCCTTGTGCTTATGCCCTCCAGGGAAAGGGTGTGTATGAGAAGGTTGGAGAGGCAACAGAGACCGCCCTCTGCTGTCTGGTGGAGAAAATGAACGCGTTTGACACCGACCTGAGGGGCCTGAGCCCCGTAGAGAGAGCCACGGCCTGTTGTTCTGTAAGTGGGTTTGAACTTCATTATGATCCTGTTACCTTTTCACAGCTTTGTTATTGTTATTGTCCTCGTGTGTGAGGGAACAAACCCAAGTTGTAGGGCAACGCTCTGTTTCCAACTCGGTAAACATCATTGCTAGATTCATTATCCAAAACTACGAAGAGTAGGATGAATGATGAGATCCAAATGATTTCGGCAGTTAATAATTCCAAAACTTGTAGTATCAAACAGCTTTCAGATTCAGGAAGTAAAAGACGTACACATGCATTTGTAAAACAGGAAACAGGCATTTCAGGATGTAGAATGAAGAGTGCAGGTTTGAATATCATGAAGGAGTTCATCATTAGATGTTCACATGCACATTATCATCACTACTAAAACATATTATTATGATATAAAATATATAACATGTGATGGAGCCAGATGTTTTATACCGTAAACATCTCATGAATGAACAGACACTCTCAGCTGCCATTTTGCTTTGGATTTCAGATTAGTTTTTTCGTTTGCTCTGTATGTCAGGTCAGATTGTAAAGGCCAAACAGAAGTCAGGTTAATGTCACCGTGGGGTCCCGAGACTGGGACTTCTGCAGCTGGTAGAAACAGCTTGCTTAAGAGGACAGAGTTTGTACAGATGAGCACAAAGACACCCATAGTGTTTAAAACATTGCATTTATAAAATCCGCACTCACATCAATTTAAAAAGACACACTTATTTTTACTGAGGATTCCCTTTAAAGTGCTGTATTTGAGTTTTAGACTCATCAAATACCAGGGCAGAGATACCTTTCAAACAGTTTTGGAATATGCATCAAATTGCATTGTTATAGCATGTAATCTAAAACTGAATATTACTACAAAAAACATTAGAAAGTTTCCTTCTCCATTTCTAGAACATTTGTGGGACTTTCTGTCCAAACACTTATCGACTCTATTTTTTTCTTACAGGTGATTAAGCAGCTAATGAGGAAGGAGTTGACTCTTGAGTTCTCCCGAGACAGAAAGTCCATGTCCGTCTTCTGTTCATCCAACAAACTCACCAGGTCAAGCACTGGAGCGAAGATGTTTATCAAGGTCAGTCACACGTGGTATTTTATGACACCTTCAATCAGTTCCGTTCAGTGTTATCAGTACAGCAGCAAATCACAGCAATGCCATTTCTGGACACAATAAGATCTTTGATATGACAGCTTGCTCGTCCAGCTTTATATGTGAAGAGCAGAAGTTTAATCAGAGCTCTGTGTGCAGCATTTTAGATCAGCTGGAGCCTTTTCCCAGCCTACGAATACAACAACAGTATTTATAAGTAATTACAATAGTCCAATCTGGAAGTTACATTTGCAGTAGATTTTCTCTTTCATCGCTCTGAGTCACCATGTTACCAATTTTTTCAAATACTTTTTTTGGGGAGATAAAAGAATTTAGGTCTAGAAACTCTTTTAAATGTGACACTGGTCAAAAGTAGCTTCAAGGTCCCATTCTGAAGGACTAAAAGGCAAATGAATTGAATCTAAAGTAAATATATAACTAGACAGTTTCTCCCAGGTCCAAGTGCTCAGGTCCAAAGGGACTGCTTCAGTTTTTGTCTTAATTTATAAGTTGAACATTCATCCAGGTCTAAATGTCTTTCAGACATGATTGAAGCTTTTCCTTGATTTCTTTAATCTGGTTTTTTTTTCCGCCCCCCTGGCTATACAGAGACGTTCATGTATCTATTCTTTACATTTCAGGGAGCTCCAGAGAGCGTTTTGGAGCGCTGCAATTATATCCGCGTCAGCGGCTCTGCCCGTGTGCCTTTGACCCCGAGTGTTCGAGAGCAGCTCCTGACCACCGTGCGGGAGTGGGGATCAGGGCGAGACACACTCAGATGTCTGGCCATGGCCACTAGAGACATGCCCCCTGACATCCACAGCCTCAATCTGGAGAACTCAGCTGCCTTTGCCAACTACGAGGTACTAATCAAGTTGCTAAGACTTTATAGTTTCTCTTATAAATTCAACGTGTCATACATCTTATTCGTATCGTTGTGGATCTTGGTGGTTGTTTTTTTCCCCCCAAAAATCCGAAATCCAACTTAATTTATTTCTCTTGTCGGTCCGTGGCTCTGATGTCTGTCAAAGAAAGCAGAGAGTTAAAACTTTTTACACCGTAGTTTACACCGCCTCACCATCGCTTTTCTTCCTCCCAGTCGGACCTGACCTTTGTGGGCTGCGTGGGGATGCTGGACCCCCCAAGGAAAGAGGTTCTTGGTGCAGTTCGGATGTGTCGCCAGGCTGGCATACGAGTCATTATGATCACAGGTAAGCACACAGATAATGAGACACAAACCTTCATTCAAATAATTAGTCTAATAAAGAAGAAGAAGAATGGATGTAGAGTTATGTTCACTGCTTTTGAGTAGAACTGATCCATTCGCCATCTTCTTTAAGCTATCTTTCTTACTTTGAATGCCCATAAGTAATACAGCCTGTCCTGAACTGAGCCTGAGCATTGGCTCTTATTTAAAGTTTTTTTTATGAACCGAAAAAAGCAGATTGGCCTCTGTTTTTCTTCTTATCAACAAGAGCGACTGAAGCATTTGGAACCCCAGTGAACCCCAGAACAGTTTTTTTTTTTCTTTACGTTCTTTCTTCTGAGCTGGACTAAAGAAATTTCTTAAAAACATCAGCAGCTCACCCTCCCGTTCTCCTTTAGGGGACAACAAAGGGACGGCTCTGTCCATCTGCCGAAGGGTGGGCATCATCACCGAGCAGGAGGAGCAGCAGGAGGGCGCCGGGGTCAGCGGCGGGCTCACGGGCCGGGAGTTCGACGAGCTGCCGCCTCACCTGCAGCGCCAGGCCTGCCGGACGGTGCGCTGCTTCGCCCGCGTGGAGCCGGCCCACAAGAGCCGCATAGTGGAATATCTCCAGAGTCTGAGCGACATCACTGCCATGGTGAGAGCACCGGCCTGTATTTGCATTCACACACACACATGTTAATGTGTAGCAGCTTTACTTTGGTTGCTTTAAAAAAGAAGGACACCACTCAGACCAGGAATCAGGATCTGCACATTTATTCCACCTATAAGAGTAGCCGGGGACAGGGTCAGTACACACACAGGCCGATAGATGCTCTCAGTCTCCAGTGCATAAGCTTCCTGAGTTTTTTTTTTCTTTGCCATAATATAAATAAAGAAAATACTTCTGTAAATTAAATGTACACACCAAAACAATGTGTGCCCTTATAACATGTAAAATATTGAGTAAAAGCTGTCAAAATATTACACATGCTAAGTGCATTACACAAGAATAATCACTCATTGAGAAAAATGTGCTTAAAATTTTAATATATAGCTTATCCTCACTTTAAACTATGCAGTCCTTTAGTAAAAAAAATACTTAACAGAATTCAGATGAACAATTTTATACCATAACACACCTATAAGAGTAGCGATGGACACGGTCAGTACACACACAGGCTGTTAGATGCTCTCAGTCTTTCAATTTAATGAAATAAACGTTGGTTTTCACCGACCAAATAAGCGTAAATATATTTAACAATGCGTTGGCAATGCTATTGTAACCCACTACTGGGTATGTACACGTCAATGTTGGACCAGATTCA